TTGCTTATTCCTCCAAATGGTAAAGTAAAATGGTTAAGAAATTAACAGAAAGGATTTTCTGGGACACGACACTGTCTTGTCCCTCAGCCTGGGTTCCTGCTGTCCTGTGCTGTCATGCTGTAGGTGTGCACCCTTTGTAGGACAAACCAGTCTGCAGCCAAGATAAGTTTGAATGCAGTGTAGCATAGGAAATGGCATCATGTGCAGCATGGGGACAAACCGTCATCACTTCTTAAAAAGTAAAGATGGAGGGAAAGTCTGTTTGCCAGCATCATGGAGTGTTATGTGGGATCTGCCCCTCCCTTCACATTTCAGTTTGTTTATTCTTTTTTATTTTATTTTGAAAGAGACAGCGTGCAGGGGAGGGGCAGAGAGGGGGAGAGAGAATGAGAATGCCGAGCAGGCACCACACTGTCAGCGCAGAGCCTGATGCAGGACTTGAACCCAGAAGCCACGAGATCATGACCTGAGCCAAAACCAAGACTCAGGACGCCCAATCGACTGAGCCACCCAGGCGCCCCTCCCTTTACATTTCTAACGGTGTTCCGAATGGAAGTCTTCAGGTTCGAGAGAAAACTCAGACTTTCCCACCATGCCCTGAGCCTCACACCAGAGCATGGGGTGGTCGTGGCAAAGAAGTCACAGCCTCTGAGAAGGAGGACGAAGGGTGATGGATGTTGAGGTGACAGGAAAAAGCATCAGCCACTGGAAAGGGGGAGCTGAAGCAAACATGCGAGAGAAAAGGGGGAGAACGTGTGATAGTGATCAATCCAAATAATGTGGTGCTTGTGTGGTGTGGATTTTAAGAGGAAAAGAAGATGAAAGATAAGCAGAACCAGGAACATGTAACAAGTAGCCTGGTAGTTTGAGCCAAGGAAAACAGCTGCTGCCTCTGCTGCATGGGACGAGGCTTGCCCTGTGGCTGGGGGAAGGTGGGAGGGCAGGGAGAATTGAGGCCGTGACCACGGACCCTTGGAGGGGGGCAGCCTCGCCTGTCCCTTTACCAGTTTGCTGTGCTCCTTTTCCTTTGTGAAACATACCCGGTCCCCCTGGGGGAGGAAGGGTGAGTCTTAAGGTAATCGAGGGCACGTCTTTTTATATTCGTTAAATGAGACATAATGCTCACCTAATCACAGTGTAATGATACAAATCACTCTTGGTTTGAACTACATTAAACTAGTCTTTCAGTAGAAATATACACAGATTAGTGCTAATTGATGTTTTAAACATCTCTACAACTCGGAAGTTAACCCGAGACACGTGCACAGGTCACTAAATATGTACTAATGTAGCTTGTAGCAAAGGAACTCATGTAGCAAAGCTCAGCACTTCTGTATTGGTACTTCGATTCTTGGAACGTATTAGCAGGCAGTACAGTGTTGGGCCATCGTGTATTAACCAGTAACTTCCCCGGCATTAGGAAACTGATTCAAACTTTACTGAAAGCAGTATTGCCTGCTAAAATATGCAGATTATGTTTGTATGTAAGCTTCTAAATATAGCAGGATTAATAGCTTCTTTGTTGTTAAGAATTAACTATCCATGATCTTTCTCTCCTCGTCTGAACAATTTTAAAAAATGTTTCGGCAGAAGTAGAGTGTCAAACTATTATTATTTGGAAGATGTAATAATTTACAGGGAGGCAAAAAGGTTAATTATTTGTTGGCAGTTTATTAAACAATGATATAAGTTCTTTCTACTAAGAATTGGGCATTTGATCTCTATGGAGAATAAGCATTAAAAAATGAATCCAAAATGTCTTCTATGATTTCCATAAATTATTATCATCAAGAGAAGTTAGGGTTTTAGCAAAGCAGTAGAGGGTGCCTATCGGATACCCTTGTGTGAGGACGGGGTCTTTGGGCGTGCCTTCCTGAGCTCAGGCGGGGTTCTGTCGCATTGCGGTAGCCCTGGTGTGGGGCTGGGAGCTGGGCGTTCCCAGCAGTGTCGTGGCCGTGACTCATCGCCTGGCGTGGTGCCCGCTTCCTTTAACCCTGTCTGCGTTAGGAAGTACAGGCAGTGTGGCCAGATGCTGCATCCAGCTGACACGTTTTCTGTGTGATTTTATTTTGTATAGATGTGAATCTTGTATCGGAGAAAGAAATTATTCAAAGTTGCGTGTTTAGTTATGTCAGTAATTTCCTTTGATTTTTGAATATTACTTTTATTTTCTAGATATTGTTGGAATGCTATTTTGATGATATATATTTTATATAAATCCTAGAACAGCGTTCAAAAAATTGAGAGAGGAAATATTTCATAATCCTACCACCCTGACAATTATTTTAGTTTGAGAGTATTTACTTATGCTCTGTTTCATGGGTTGGATTTTAGAGATGGCAATCATATGTGTGGTTGGTTTCAGGCAGTATGATCTATCCTATCTTGTGGTATATCCATATTTTGGTAGTTAAACCAGATTGATTTGTTTAGTTTCTTTTTTTTTCCCCCCAAGTTAGTCAGGTTTAAAAAACAGCTAGGAATTACCTGGCGTACAAGACTGTTTTGCCACCTCCTCTCCCTTCCTAAAATTATACTAAAAGTAATGTTTTGGAAGTTATTGTCTTCTTGACAGATATGCTAATATTTTTTATTTTCTAATATAAAGTTTGTATTTGTTTCACCTTAAAGCTAATGAAGTAAACAGTTTTTGCTCAGACCCTGTATACCCAGATTTTCAGTTTTTGGTGCTTAAAGAACCTGTATAGACCTCCTAATACCCCACCCTCCCCCTTCTGCTGTCCGTTGCATTTATTTTTTATTGTTCTACGTTTCAGTTCCAGTGTAGTTAACATACAGTGTTATCAGGTGTACGATACAGTGATTCAGCAATTCTGTGCATTATTCTGTGTTTATAATAAGTGTACTCTTAATCCCCTTCACATATTTCCACCCCCTACTCTGCCCATTTTACATGTTGAATTTGAAACCCAGAGGAAGAGGGGCGCCTGGGTGGCTCGGTCGGTTAAGCATCCGACTGCAGCTCAGGTCATGATCTCACGGTTTGTGAGTTTGAGTCTCGCGTTGGGCTCAGAGCCTGGAGCCTGCTTCGGAATCTGTGACTCCCCCTCTCTCTCTGTCCCCTCCCCAGCTCGTGCTCTGTCTCTCAGAAAACAAATAAACGTTAAAAACAATTTTTTTAATAAAAAAAAGAAACCCAGGGGAAGAAACATGACTTTTCTAAGATCACTTAGCTAACTCTGCTGCCTTTGCTATTACATCATGACTTCAAAGTAAAGGTGAACCGCATACATCATGTTAACCCTTAGGTAGTAACTTTGCTGATGCCGCTACTCCACACATTCCCTGTCCTTGGCATTTGCTTCGGCAGTTCCGTGTGGCTGCAAAGATAGTTCACCTGGAGCATTTAGGCAACAAGTGCATTAGTACTAGATCTAGAGGTTTGGATTATTTCTAATTCTTACAAGTTTTAAGTTTTCTTTTTTTTAAGTTTATTTATTTTGAGGCCGAGAGAAGGGGAGGAACAGAGAGAAAGGGAGAGACAGAATCGCAAGCAGGCTCCGCACTGGGCCTCGAACTCACCAACCTTGAGATTATGGCCTGAGCAGAGACCAAGAGTCAGACACTCAACTGACTGAGCCACGCAGGCCCCCCACAAATTTTAGTTTCTCAATTGTGGTTTTTAAATTATTTAGACATTTTGTTTACATGCATCTTGAGCTATCTTAACTATTCCATTAAGCTTGAATTCCAGTAAGTTTGTTTGTTTATGTTTATTTTTGAGAGAGAGTGCTCTAATAGGGGAGGGGCATAGAGAGGAGGGTTACAGAGGATCTGAAATGGGCTTTGCACTGACAGCAGTGAGCCCAGGTGATGTGGGGCTTGAACTCATGAACCATGAGATCATGACCTGAGCCAAAGTTGGACATTCAACCGACTGAGCCACCCAGGCAGCCCCCCCCTTCCCCCCCCCCAATCCAGTACACTTTTCAAAATGGCCTCACTGCATAATGAGCCTCCTGGGTGGCTCAGTTGGTTGAGCATCAACTCTTGATTTCGGCTCAGGCCATGATCTCATGGTTGGTGGGACTGAGCCCCTCGTTGGGCTGCATGCTGACAGCACGGAGCCTGCTTGGAACTTTCTCTCTCTCTCCCTCTCTCTGCTCCTCCCTTGCTCTCTATCAAAAATAAATACATACATACATCAAAAAATAAGAATAAAATGACTGCTGTGCTTAGTGTTTGCAGAGCCGAGTCTAGCATGGCCCCTGCCCACAAGAGCTCACAGTAGGGGAGTAAGATGCATCCATACATCAGCCCCGGAGCAGGCTCTGAAAAGTGGTATCTGAGCAGAGGGGAGGCTGGGTGAATGCCTCTCGGTGACCCTGGGGATGTTCCTTCATAATGGTTTCCTTGACGGGAGTTTGCCCTGGGTGGGGCTTGATGAGGGACTGGGCAGGCCGTGGGCTGGGGAGGACCCCTGGTTTGGAATCACAAACTTGTGAGTTCTCCGGACAGGTGTCTGAGGGCAATTTACTTAAATTTCTTACTTGGAAAGCATGGGTAATAATAGTCATGCCAACCCTTACGGGGTTGTCATGAGGGTTAGATGTGTGACGTACCTAAACTATTTGATAAAACACCTGTCATGTAGTGAGTGTTGGGTTATGAATGGAGTGCACAGAGTGGAGAGCGTCTTCTGTGTTGGGAGTGCGAGGGTGAGACTGCTGGGAGGGGTGGTGGGCTATCTTACCAGGGCCAGACCCTGCTCTGGTACCTCCAACACCCCAGGCGTGCCAGTGCCTGCTGGACTTACAGAAAAAGGAGTAGAGGTACGGGGAGCTCACTACCTTGCCCAGAATTGCACGGCAAAGTGCCTGGGTCAGGATTCGGAAAAAAATGGGGAGGAAGGAAAAAGTCACGTGGGTGTTCCAGTGTCAGGTTGCAGTAGGGTGAGGCTAATCGTTCTCTAAGCTTTTGATAAATTAAAAATCGGTAATGGTGACTTGAATTGATACAATATTTATTATGATTTGTAGAGGATGTTGGTGATGAAGGCGAAGAAGAAAAAGAATTCATTTCCTATAATATCAACATAGACATTCATTATGGAGTTAAGTCCAATAGGTGAGTGACGTGAATACACTGTTGTCTTGTATTATAAGCTTGTGAGACGTGGATATAGATCTTAACTGACTTAGACGAAGACATTAAGAAGACACTCAAGATTTCTGCTCTTTAAATAAGTATCTTGGAGTTCACGTATTGAAATTCAGAGGATTTCCAAGTCAGTATAAACTCTAAAATATTTTTATTTTAATTGCTATGTCATGGCATCCATTTTAGTATTGAGCCATAAATGTATTTAACGTATATAATAACAATTCTGAGATTATATCTGCATTTTCATTATTATAAATAACTAGTAAACACCTAATAAAGATTCTTAGGTGGAGGTCTGATTTTTCTTAGTATAAAGAAAGAAAGCATTACCGGTTGAGATGCAGTGTGTCCTTAAAATCTTTAATGCATGTGACCAGATCTTTCCAATCTTCTAGAAGAGCGGTGCCAGTTTACACTCCAGTAGACATATCCAAATTTAAATATGTAAATGCTTAATTTATACTGTATTTGCTTTTTAAACCTTTTTATTTTTAATAATTTCAAGCTTACAAGAGTTGCATGAATTATATATAGTTGATATCAGATATCAGTTGTTAACATCGCCCCGTTTGCACTATTGTTTTCTTTCCTGAACCATTTGAGAGTTAGTTATAGACAACCTGCTCCTTTACTCCTAAATACTTCAGTGTATGTCTTAAGAACAAGGATACTCCTATTCATAGCCTCCATACAGGTTTTAAATTCATGAAGTACGGGTACAATAGTATTCTTGATGTACTGTGTATATTCAAATTGTCTCAATAATGTCCCTTCTAGTAACTTCCTTGATCCAGAATCTAACTCTGTGTCTTTCGTGACATTGACATTTTTGATAAGCACAGACTAGTGGTGATTAGATTTCGGTTTGTACATTGTTGGCAGGGATGGTTATTAAGACGTCTTCCTTTTCAGTGTGTCACCGCAGGAAACTTCAGTGACTTTTTAGAATAATATAAAGTGTTACGTATAAAGTACTGGCCTGGGAACAGAAAACTCAAATGCTATTTTTTTTAACTATTAATTTAACTACCTTTGAGCACCTGTTATGTGTAAGATATGGCAGTAGGTATACAGAGAAAACTTGGTTCCCAAGAAGCTTGTGGTCTTTTGGGAGGAAGATTGGCTTGGCAGACACACAACTGACTGTACTGCTTGGCGAAATCTTAGAAGTGCAGAATACCATGAAACAAGGAGATTGGAGAGAGTGATTCTGGTTAGGGGAGACCCCGAAGTGTTGTAATGCTGGAATTGGGTTTTGAGGGTTCCTTGGAATTTCAGCAGCTGAATGTAGGTTTCTTAAGCAAAGCCACAGAGGTGCATAACGTTTGGAGAATGGGACATCTGTTCTCAGTTGTGTCTTGGGTCAGGAAGAGGGTACATAACGAGACAGAACTGGAAGAGTTGGTTTAGGCCAGGTCGTGCGCGGCCCAGAGTGCCCTCTTGTCACTTTAACCTGTGGTGGCTTTTGTTTATTCAAGCCGACGTGTGACTTAGTGCCATAAACGAATGGTACAAGTTAGCATAAGATCAGAGTTAATTATGTCGTGGCTTGTAACCTGCAGTTGCTACGGAGGTTCGTTTGCGAGAGGCCAAGATTATGAACTCAACCCTTACATATGGGACAGATTGACTTTGCCTGGTTTCATGGTCACATGCCAAAACCTTAATCTTGATTCGATCGATCGTTCTCACATAAGCGAGTAAAGAAAGATAAGCAATGTATTTCAGTGTCAGAAAAGCGACAATCTGAGCTATTCTTACTGTGATTTTTAAATTACAACATTCAAATGAATTTTTAATTTGTGTGCGATACAGAAAGGGCGACAGTTACCAAAACCATTTAGGAGTGAGGCTCTTCGTTCTAATTTCTTCTTTTGCTTTCTTTTAGCTTGGCGTTCATTAAACGCACTCCAGTAATTGATGCAGACAAACCAGTGTCTTCTCAGCTTCGGGTCCTCACACTCAGTGAAGACTCACCGTATGAAACCTTGCATTCTTTCATTAGCAATGCGGTGGCTCCTTTCTTTAAGTCCTATATCAGAGAGTCTGGCAAGGCAGACAGGTAAAAACCATTTTTCTTTTGTTGGTTTGAATGTCCTATTTCCCTGAGTGTTCTCAGGAGACCACGAGAGATAATGTAAAATTTGGGACTTGGGAAGGCAAGGCTAATATTCCAAAAGGACATAAATCTCTTGCTTTAATAAGATGCATATTATTAATGTTTGACAGACTTAAAATAATAGGGTCTCTTTGGACACCAACAGCACACTAAGCTTGGAGTCTTTGTTAACTTTTTTAGGGATGGTGATAAAATGGCTCCCTCGGTTGAAAAAAAGATTGCAGAACTTGAAATGGGGCTCCTTCACTTGCAGCAGAATATTGAAATTCCAGAGATCAGCCTGCCAATTCATCCCATTATTACAAATGTTGCAAAACAGTGTTACGAACGTGGAGAAAAGCCAAAAGTTACAGACTTTGGAGATAAGGTCGAAGACCCAACTTTTCTCAATCAGTTACAATCAGGAGTTAACCGCTGGATCCGAGAAATTCAGAAAGTAAGAGCACGGTGTTGGATGTATTATGTCAAGTCCTCACTCTTTTTTAATGTCCCTCAGAAACTGGCCTGCATTTTTGCCATTGAGGTAAAGTCTCTGATGATGTTAGCGGTGCTCCCCTTTGTCCTGGGAATGCCCAACCGAGGGCTAACGTTGGCCCAGGTAGAACGGTCAGGGTACAGTGTGGTTATTTAAATGTTCACCCCGAGAGAGCGTTGATTTCAGCTCTCTTACACCTTTGCTTTCAAGTTAAGCCACTTACAATTGACGGAAGAAAATCTACTTGAAATACAAAAATTAAGTTGTAATGCATGAGTTTAATTAATGATATTTTTCTACTTTTATTTAAAAATAGTGAATACTCTTGAATGTTATTTATCTTTAAAGGTGACCAAACTTGATAGAGACCCTGCCTCAGGAACAGCCTTGCAGGAAATCAGTTTTTGGTTGAACTTGGAACGTGCACTGTACCGCATACAGGAGAAACGAGAGAGCCCAGAAGTCCTACTTACTCTGGATATCTTGAAACATGGCAAGCGTTTCCATGCCACTGTCAGTTTTGACACTGACACAGGTAAACGCTGGAACTAATGATGTGATCAGTAAGAGATTGATCTGGCTTTTGTGAGACCATACTGATAATTTCAGTGAAAATCAATGAATGGACCACCTTCCCTGTTTCCTCTCTTGTATCTCGTCTCCTTTTCCCCCAGTTCTAGGTAATGACAGTAATTTTCCCACATACCTTCCTGCCCCTTCAGGAGTCGTGAGGACATGTGCCAGTTTCTAGACCTGAGTGTAGAGAGCCTTGGGAGTTTCCCTCCTGCTTCTCAGTTACTTGGTTTCTTGAGTAAGCAGTACTTTTTTAGCATAAAGTCAAGTGTGCTTTTGACAATCCGGGCCGGGGGACGGTTGACATTAAGCAGAAGTTGTTTGGCCACAGGGCTGTGGAAGGAGAGCTGGTTGGAGCTTTCTCTTCCTCTTTTACCTGCCCCTTTTCCCTGTTCAGCCTTCCTCCCTGTTCTGAAAAGTGGCCAAAACGAGTTTAGTTTTCTGAATGGACAGCAGTGTGAGTGACATTGTCTTGGCACACTCTGGGCACTCAACTGTTTGAATGACCGGGCATGTTTGGGCATTTCTCTCCAGCTCTACCCACCAGGGAATGTTAGAGCAAGGAGTCAGGGCTGCGGTATTTGTCGTGTTCTTTTCCTTCCCCTCCAAAAAAAGGCGTGCTGCCCACATTTGAAATGTTAGAGGAGGTTCTAGGTAGAAACCTTCTAGTTGCTTTGGTCACATTGCACATGTTACCTGAGCATTCAGTAATGCTGAAGGTTATGCCTTGAAATTTAGATATACCTCTGAAACTTTTACTTCTTCCCTTTTTTTTTTTTTTTTTTTTTTTTTTTTTAAATCTTAATGTTAGAAGAGTCAGAAAGTAGACTAGGACCCAGGTGTTTCTGTGATTCTGTGTCCGTAACACACTCCCTTCACTTGAGCTGTGGGTGTAACATTTTCATTTTAGTGTTCCTAAGGATGATAACACTGTAGTTCTTCTAACCTTAATGTTATTCATAGAACATTTTGATGGTATAGAAAGCAAGAAAAGAAATCACCCGCGGCCTTTAACGTATGCATGAGTTGGCTGATGTTCTTAAAAAAGCAACAGTGAGACCGTCCGTTAATTAACAGAGGATCATCCTGTTAATAACATGTTCCTTTTTTTCAAATATAAATGGTTTCGGTGTCACTGAATCTTCAGCAACATGAAAGTGTTCCGTCGTGAGGCTGTATTTCAGTTTCCTTACCCAGTATTAAGCTGTAAGCAGTAGCCTCTTCGTTGTATCACTTTCTTTAAATTCAGATGTGATTGACATAGAACGTTAAGTTATACCTATGTTACCTTACATGCAAACCGTTAACTGTTTCTTGGTCAATCCAGGTCTAAAACAGGCTTTGGAGACTGTGAATGACTATAACCCCCTGATGAAGGATTTTCCTCTGAACGACTTACTGTCTGCCACTGAGCTGGACAAAATAAGGCAGGCCCTCGTTGCCATTTTCACCCATCTGAGAAAGATCCGAAACACAAAATACCCCATTCAGAGGGCACTGCGTTTGGTGGAAGCGATTTCAAGAGACTTGAGTTCTCAGTTGCTCAAAGTATTGGGCACCAGAAAATTGATGCATGTTGCTTATGAGGAATTTGAAAAAGTAAGTTTTAATGTATCAGAAAAGCAGCCTCAGGCACCGAGATGAAAACACGGCTATAATAACAAGCCTCCTTCCTAAAATTATATCCTAGGTTATGGTCGCATGCTTTGAAGTCTTTCAGACTTGGGATGATGAATACGAGAAGCTTCAGGTGTTACTGAGAGACATCGTCAAAAGGAAAAGGGAAGAAAATCTAAAGATGGTGTGGCGAATCAACCCTGCCCACAGGAAGCTTCAGGCCCGCCTTGACCAGATGAGGAAATTTCGACGCCAGCACGAACAGCTGAGAGCTGTCATCGTCAGGGTCCTGAGGCCACAGGTATGCGTCGCATTTTAAACCTGCATCCACGGGTGGTTTTTAGAACCCCTTCTTTCTTTTTCTTAGAATGCTAGTGAACTGCTGCTCCCTCTGATTCGCACCAGGTGCCTGCGTAGTTCCCTCTGCATCCTGTCCCTGTCCTGTCGCTGATGTAGGGATTCTGTACCTTCAGTCTTACTACTCCTCCCGTTCTTCCCTCCCTGCAAAATGCGTGAATTCCGGAGCCAGACTTCCTGGGTTTTAAATCCTAATTCCACCGTTTAACGAGCTGTATGACTTGGACATGTTTTTTAGTCCTTTTCCCAGATTCCTCATTTGCAAAATGTAGATAATGATTGCATATGCCTGAGGTTTACTTACCTATTTATTTTAATTTTTTACAATTTATTTTTTTATTTTTTTTTCCAACGTTTTTATTTATTTTTGCGACAGAGAGAGACAGAGCATG